GGCTGGCTGGCATGTGGTGCTGGAGGATCGAACCGAGGTCCCTGTGCTTTGCCAAGCTTGTTTCAAGTAGGTGCTTTAGACCACTGAGCCATCTCTCCAGCCCCTGAACATTTTTTTAATTTGTGTACTTATTGTTGTTTTGTTTTGTTTTGTTTTGCGGAACCGGGGATTGAACTCAGAGGCTTGCGTTTGCCAGTCAAGCGCTTATCCTATTGAGCCATCTCCCCGGCCCCTATTTGTGTACTTATTGTGATACCAGGGTTCTGGAAGAGTTTTTAAAATTAATTATTTGGTACAGGGTCTCACTAAGCAGCTCAGACTTGTAGTGATCCTCCCGTCTCAGCCTCGCCAGTGCTGGGATTATAGGTGGTTCTGGGGCAGCAGGACATGCAGTACCAGGGATTGAACCTAGGTCCTGACATTTGCCAGGCAGGTGCATACATTACAAAGCTGTCTCCCCAGCCCTTATTGTGGTACTAGGGATCCAACCTGAGGGCAGGTTATTTGTAAGCTGCTCGGCCGATGAAGGAGACCGAGATGTTAGATCTAGCTTTATAGAATAGAAATTGAGGGGCTGGCGAGATGGCTCAGTAGAATAGGCGTTTCCCTGGCAAGTGCAAGGGTCTGAGTTCAATCCCTGGTTCCGCAAAAAAGAAAAGAAAAGAAATTGAGGTCTGTGCTGTGTGGCCCCATGGCCTAGAACGAGGAGATTATCCAGGGAAGAACTTCTAACTGCCAGGAGCGGACCGCAGAGCTAGCATGAAACTCACTGGCTTCTTTCTTTTTTTCCTTTGTTTCCATGGTGCTGGAGATGGAGGACAGAGTCTTGTGAATTCTGGGCAAGCACCCCACAGCTGCACAACACCTATAGCCCCTTTAAAATTTTTATTTTGAGGCAATGTCTTGCTAAATTGCCCCAGCTGGCCTCAAATTTGGGATCATCCTGTCTCAGCTTCCTGAGTAGCTGCATTACAGAATAGAAGCACTGATCTCCTCGACACTGGACATGCCCAAATATAGACGGCACAGATGGTATGGAAAAGGATCAGGTGCTAGCAGGGTACTTGCACCAAACGGCCCTTTCCATCGTTGGGCGATGGCACCAAGTGCCTTCGTTAACAGGGTGACTGCAGAAAGCTATTACAGTACATCAGCCTTGAGGGCTCTGTGTCGCCGTTGTGCGCCATCCACTTGCCTTCAGTGGGCGAGGCCCAGGCTGGCGGCACGGCACCTGCAGGAAAGCGGCGGCCGCGTGCAGGTGCACGGGAGGCAGCATGTCCGCACCGACTCTGTGATGCTCCGACCCTTCCCGTGCTTCCGGA